GACGATGCCTTGGAGAAATTGCAGGTGTAGCCTCTTGTTCCTGCCTTCTTGTACTACAATAAACAATAATTTTCAAGTTTTACCATCATTCTCTCTAAATTCTTGGCACTTCTAAACACTACATCTTGTTTCCTTTCTGCATGAAGGGAATTATTGATGCTGCATCATATGTCCCGCCACCCCCCTCCGAAGAACAAAAGAAAAGGATTGAAAAATTGTATGCATCCCACCCTAAATGACCTCCCTTTTATGTGTTTCTTTGTGTTATCTACCTGTTTTTTTTTTTCATGAATGCCTCAATCACCTTGCTTCAGGCTGACAAAAAAATTCTAGTCCTATTCTTAACATTTAATGTGATGTTTCTGAAATGTTTGCCCATGAATTTTCCAATTCTGAAGACCATCACTATAGCCATAATATGTTGGTCATCAATAAATGAGCTGCAAGATTTACTCCTTTTTCTTTTGTTGAAGGGCCTCAATCGGAGAACAGAAGAGGTTGCTGAGCAAAAAAGCTCTCTCACAGAAGAAGGCAATTAGAAGGAATAGGAGCAGTTGGGATTAATCCAGAGGTATCTGTCTGTCATGATGCAAATCTATGATGTTGGTTTCCAACCTATACTTTAGTTTTGTCAATTATATTTTTTTTAATCTTTTTTTACAGCAGCGTAGGAAGTCTTCAATATTTTGATCCGCAGGAAATCATTGCAGCATGGATTAAAGATCAATGGGTTAGTATTGTCAAACCGTCCGAATCGTCAAATGAATTATTCCATGTAATTAAGATCAACATTTTGCTTACACTTCAATTTTGGTTCTTAAGTAGGATGAAGTGCACCTATACTTAATTGTGGGATCATTGAATGCGCACAAAATCTGTGGAAGTTTCTGGGAGAAATATATCAGGAATTTGTACTCAGGATTCTGGGGCTTCAAGCAATTTGAGAATCACATCATTCTTGATAAAATGATTGTGGATCTATTATATGGACTCAAATCATCACCAGACTCCAGTTTTATGCCGAGAAGACTACAAAATATACTGACATGGTTGAAAAACCATGTCAGTGTTTTATTTGTTCTTTAACCAATAGAGTTTGAGGGTTTTCCTATCATTCATCCTCCTCATGTAGGGAGGTCCCAAATGAATATATTTGGATGACAAATATGCGTTCTGAGTTGGATTTAGCATTAGGGAAAATTTTGTCAGATAGATGCATTAGATAAAATAATGTAACATTTAAAAGCTTCTCTCCGTGCATGGAGTAGACAAAGTCCATCTATATGTTGCCAAATAATTACCTTACAATTGAATGAAGCACTCACGATAGGGATCATAGACTGCATCTCTTTTCCAAAGCATAGCATGATACCATTATCTGAACCAGGTGATATGTAGAGGTCACAAATAACACTTGCATAGCAGAGAGTTCAGCTAGTGTTTGTCATGAAGTCGTATATTTCTTGTCCAAACCATTTATGAATATAATTTTAAATATTATATATGGCCCTTTACATAATATCAACCCCAAAATCGTAAGTAGTTTATACTCTTTCTGCATAATTTATGCAAATTCTTAAAATTATTATTATAAACTTTTAAAAGTGCTTTCATGTGTTTTTATAGCTTGTTGGTGGGTGGTAGAAACAGTACATTGATGCTAAATTCATTTTCAAATGGGCGTCATGTAATATTTATACCGAATTGTGTTCAAAATAATAAAAATACAACAAGATCTTTTTAAAATTTTAAATATTTCTAGAATTATTTTAATTTATATTTAGTGGCAGTCGGTGGATAATAGGAACAGGTGTTACCCTTGCTTTCAGCACAAAAGTGAACTAATTATATTTGCCATATGTGCTAATCGGATCCATCCCTAAATAATTATGTACTTTATGGAACTAAATCCAATTTTGATCCTCCTTTAGCATAGTAAACTATAAGCTCTGCCAAGACAATGAAAAACTATTGTAAAAATTAATTTTTTTAAATGTTTTTAAAATCATTATTATGAGCTTCTCGAAACGCTTTAGTAGGAATATAAAGATTATTGGTTGGTGATAAACACAGTGACGTTAATTTGTATAATTTTATCATATCCTTTCTTTTTTGTTGAGGAAGAAATATCGTTGATGTTTTAGTCAATTCGATATGGTCCGGACTCGTATGCGTAGGGTTGTTCAAGGTGTTTCCGAAGTCAGAAGAGATTTTTCGACTCGGTCCCTTTGGCTTATAAGTTAGTAATCCGATGTGTATGAGTACGGATGCGAGTCGATAAAAGGAGCAAGTCTCCCTCTCATCGTAGTGAAGATGAGCTTTTATATCTAGTCACAAAGGAGTAGAATATTTCGTGAGGAGACAGCCTCTAACTGCCCCCAACGGTCCTCTCTTGACCTTTTGTCCACGTAAGCGACAACCCGAACTACCTCCCCTAGGCTTGTCTTGAACTCTCATCTATGTGGGCAAATAGGTGGATAGTGAATGGACCTTTTCCTCCCATCGAGGACTCCACATTAGTGATTATATGTCGGATGATGATTAGCTGATAGTGGACCTATCATTTGTCTACCCTCAAAAGGCATGCTTCAGGGCTCTTGTAAGAGGGGTTCGTAGTGTGACATTTAGTTTATTCGATACAACTACATCTGGGATCCCCTAATGCGGGTCGAGTTTTCCCGACTCACGCACTTCGGGCACGTTTTGTCTTGTGTCTCTATCGTGATAGGTTTCTCCTCATGTAGGTCGGGTTTTTCCGACTCATGTGCCTCGAGCATATTTTTTTTTACACCTTCGTGGTGACACTTGTCTCAATTGTGAGAGGAGAGAGATCGGCTCCCTCCCTATAAGTCTCCCCTTACCATATGGAGTGAAACTTATTCTTTCATTTGAGCCTCCAAGGTCTTCTCAGAAGCTTTTTGCTTCACCTCCAAGTCAAGCCTTCTCTACTTCGTCTTGGTTCCCTACAGGGCAAGTAAGTCATCGAGTCCCTTGTATCCCCGGCATCGGTTCTACAACAAGTAGGTTTTCGCCTTCAATGGTAGACAATATCGCCCTCTTAAAGAGAGTAACTCATGATGCTGCATAATAGTGTTCATCGGATAATGCTAGCGTATTGATATTACCTCAACTCGTAATTTTTTTACTGCTTGTTTTTGACCGTACAAGGGGAAAAGTGGCTACTACCTAGCTACTCAAGGGGGATTCAAAGTTCGTAATGCCCCTACCAACCACAAGGGTTAGAAGAAGCGCTTTCTTTTCATAGGTTCAAGTTGGGATTGAGGTTTCAATCTCACCTGGTCGGCACATTATATAGATAACACCCGTCATCTCTTGTCGAATGAGGAGGCAGGTCAAGTGGTTTGATTGAAGGACATACTCTCTTTCTCCAAGGTCATCCGAAAGATGTGCATAATTTTCGTAATTGACTAACAACACTTACTAACGTCACTGCTGACTCAACCCTTTACTTGTTTGTTCCCGTAGAGTAATATAATATAGTTGCTGATCGACGCGAGCCTCAGCCCAACTCCTTGGGGTACGACCCAAAAACCCCATCACTTCACCTTACCTCTATTTTTGATCAACTACAACCTTATGGTTCTGATCCTTTGTATGCATGAATCTACACCCGAAGGGATGAGGAACCCAAGGAGCTTATTTTAGAGGAAGAACCGAATGAAGTACCTCCTACTTCTAAAGCATCATTGCCTTCAAAGGGTCCTCGAAGTTCCAGGTCTTCTTTGGGGAAAAGAGAGGAAAGGCAGAGGTTGATATTTGACCTATGCAAGGGCAAGCCCCTGCCCTTCGTGGCTTTACAATTAGCCGACCTATCAGAATTGAGCCCCAATATATCACTACAACCGAGATGGGAGGTTTTATAGGAGGGGCAGAAAGTATAGGGCGATGGTGTGGCTCTAGAGCAGTACTATCGTGGGTCATTGTATTTGGCAATGATGAAGCAAATCTAGCATTCCCTTTCAGGGGTTTTGATCGACACCTACTACTGCAATGAAGTGATGGTAAGTTAGGTCTTGGCTAACAACACCACGTCAGGTGGGGGAACCTCAATGGGTGATGATGGTGGTTGAGCCAGCGATGTCGCTTATTGGGCTAGATAGGGCAAAGGTGAGGCGATGACTTATATCATGCTCGTTAGCATCTGCACCTACTCGGTGAGGTTCAAAAACACCTTAATAAGGATGAATAAGTGACTCCAGATCGTCCCAATGAGTGAGAGGTCTAGGTCATTAAATAGGCACCAGTACCGTATCGATGTTTTACGTCAAGTTGGATGGATCCATGTGCATGAACGGTAGTTGTTACTCCTCTTGAGTGAAAGTACTATGGGTCAAGGGTAGACCCTCATTGCTTGAGCATTTATTGAGAGGGTTAACGAGTGAGCATTTATGTGACATCGGACCCTCCTTCTAGCACTAAGATGATAAAGAAAAATGTCATTCTCTTTGTCAGCCCGACACGATCCTGACCTGTATGTGCAGGGTTATCCGAGGTGCTTTTTGAGATAAAAATACCGAGCTCTCAAGGTGCCAACCGCATGAAGACAAAGGTCAAGAGAGGTTTCTTGACTCAGTCCCTTCAACACCCAAGTTAGTAACCTAAGGTGTACGAGCGTGGACTCGAGTAGTCAAAATGAGTAAAGCTCCCTCTCATCGTAGTAAAGATAAGCTTTTATACCTGATCATAAAATGATAAAATATTCAAGGAGATAAAATATTCTACCCCTCTTGACCTATTGTTTACGTGGGTGACAAAGGGGGGATAATCTTGAACTATCTAGATCGACTTTGGATCTTATCTGCATGAGTAGACGAATAGATAGTGACTAAATTTTTTTTTTTTTCATCGAGGATTTTATATGATAATTATGTGTCGGATAATAATTAACTAATAATATATATATATATATATATATATATATATACGACGAACAACTTAAATTTCGAGAGGTCAATAAAGAGTATAGATATGTAATTTTGTCGTTACCGGATCATATCTCTCATCCTCTTCTTTCGCCATGCCCGTTCCGAGGCTGCTGCTGATGGGCTCGCCGCAGGCACTCGTCCTCGGTTGCTCGTTTCGCCCGCGTCCGAGATTTGCCATTACCGACCCCATGCGGTGCAACTCGATCGAGCCCAGACCAGGCAGAAGGTACGGAAAGTCGAACACGATCCTCCCCTCCGTTGCAAATCGTTCCACCGAGAACGCCTTGCCCTCTCTTTGTTGTAATTGGACTGCCTTTTGATCGATGTGGTGTGGGGTATGGTTGCAAGGGAGGTGTTGCTGAGAAGCAGCGAAGTTGCAGCATTGGCTGCTATCTTCCACTTCAGGTACTCATTCTTCTACTGTACCAACTCCTGTAGTCGCTACTTGCATTTTGGACCCCGTCTCCTCAGATTGCCTGCAATGCTTTCTGGTCATTTTGGTCTGTTAAACTTCTTTTGCATTTAGGGTAGCAGATGTTCTTTTTGTGGACCACCCTACGGCTGTTAGGAAACTATTTATGTGTGAGATTAACATGAACAGAGGACTAAATAGATAATAGTCTCGTATTATTAAAGATCGGAAGTCACCTATCATGTATTGGGTTTGACTACCAACTTAGAAAAGTTTAAACTTTGTGTTGCATCAATGTCTAATCCCATGTATGTATTGTTAGCCCTGACCCGTTTAACACATACTTATCTAATTAAAAATCTCAACATGAAGATCATTAAATGTATTTAATATTGTGTCCCGGTAGCAACTTTACCATGGTGCTACGATCATAGTGAAAACAATACAACTCTGTTAGGAAGAATACGAATTCCTAACAGGAGGGAAGAAAATGCATTAAAGGGAGCTCGACCATGTGAGCTTATTATTCGATCAAGGCGAATTATAAGAGAACAAGATACTGTTTGATGGCTTATGACTCAGGAAATGCCTCACCATAATATGATTCAGTCGGAGAATTGGTTGCCTACTGCAAACTTGGGTTAAATTGACATAGGGCTGATGGGGAACCAGCTAAAATTTGGGACTAAAAGAGGAATTGGAATTTGAGAGAGTTTGATTTGTGTGCATAAAATTTATGGTATTGCAGAGATGCTCTTACCACCCAATTTTATCCAACTAAAGTAAGTTGTTCTCACTTTTTGTCCGAATTTTGAGGTATCTTCCTGCAAATGAAATCTCACTGTGCAAAAGAGAATATTAGGTGGGAATGGTTATAAAGCAATTTAAGATTGGCTTGAATATGCCAATTATACCTTCGATTTACTAGGATACTTTCTATACCAAGGTTTTATTAATGACCATGTTGCAAGTTGGGCATGTATAACAACAAATATTCAGGAGCTATGTAAAAACTATGTGAAAATTTTCTAAACTACTACTGTGATGAGTCACTATCAATTCAATTATCTCAATAATCAAGAAAAATGAATAATCACTTTCTATGATAAAGTTAAAGTCCTAAATGCAAGACACCTTCTGTCTCTCAAACCAAGTAGTAAAAGTAAAATTTGTTTTCTTAGTAGCTTTCGGCCATATAAATGGCATGTCATTTTTCCAGGAACTTCTTTTTGCATTCTCCACATTCTTCATTTATTTTTTTTCACACAAAGAAAATTGTTGACAAAGGTTAATTATACCACATTGGTTCCCTAGGAAGTCAAAATAACTAAAATGAATATTATAGTAGAAGTAAAACATGAAAGGAGATATGCATAATTGTTGCTTTATTGAGGTTCTTTTAGCTTAAAGTAATGCCAATGTTTTAACTGGAATAAGACAGTACTATCATCATGCTTTTTTCTTGGATTCAAGCGCTAGGAAGCTAATCTGCAATCCACTGAAGTCAATTCGTTCCACACTTTCGACTTAAGATCTCCATGACTTGGAGTATAAATGGAAAATCATGAATTCAGTAAGAAGAACAAAATCAACAAAATTATTTGCTTGAAGATAAACTTGTAGCTGAGAAAGACAATATCTAGGTTTTGAGCAAGTCATCTCGGTGTTTTAATTGAGAATTACCATTCCTAAATTTCAATTTAGCATGTATGAATTAACAGGAAGTTCCAAGACAATAGGAAAATGAAAAGAAGTAGGCCCTTGAATTTTTGACGAAGTCTGTTTCTTTGATTTGCACACATTATTTACAACCCCAACAAAACAGAGAAGGCGACCAATTATTGTTCTAATTCCTATCTTTGCAAAGCATAAATGAAATTTATTAATGTAGGAGAGAATATCAAAGCATTAAAAACTTGGCTAGCTTAAAGTGCAAGAAGAAGTATTAATTTATGACAGTTTCATTTGTTTCGTTTCTGTATAATTAACATAGCCTCTATCATGTTTTCTTTGACTTATAGCTTCCTTGTTATCGAATATTCTTTATATCATAAGGAAAGAGAGCATAGATCAAGAAGCTTCTAATAATTTATAGTGAGATCTCTTCATTAATTAAGATTGGATTGTGCATTCATCTTGTTTCTTAAAGGTAAAATATCTAAGTTATTCTACAATTTGGTCGAGGTGAATAGTGGAACAAAGCCCAGCTATCTCGGGATTCAGAAGAACCCTCCATCTCTAGCATTGTGTCCTGCAACCAATAACTGCATATCTACTTCGGAGGAGATTAGTGATGCCAACCACTATGCTCCCCCATGGTAAGCTGACTTCTACTCATCAAGTGACTTCTATAATTGGTTCTCGATAAGGAACCAAATAGAGGCTTCACTATGTATCTAGTGGCAAGATCTTGACTAGTCCTACTTAATTCTTTTGCAAATTTGTAGATACATGTTTGTTATCACTTTTATGAAATAAGAGTTGACCTGAAATAAGTTATTCTTGTGCAGTTTCACTGGCGATTGATATACAATTGTAGAACTGATTTTGGGAAACTATCTGAACAATCACAAATTTTTTCTTGAAAATCTTAATTATATTGTTCGTATAAGAGTTGCATCTTGTCTCTTCCATCTATGCCCTCTTCTACATATTTGCTGCTGTCATTCCAATAATACTACCTTCTGTAATTCACAATCTTCCGCAATAATCTTTCTTAAGGGGTAGAAGGGACTTTGATCATGGAAATTGAGAGTTTCTAACTTTTGAAAGTGTTTTGAATCCTAGGAATTACAATCCTGAAGATGGCCGCAGGAAAAAGCCTATAAACAAAGATGAAGCTATAGCAGAGCTTCTTCAGGTGGTAAGTCAAAGAGATAAAGATCCAAAATCTTAAATGCACTAGGGATCATCTTTGGTCAAGCATGAAAATGCAGAAGCAAGAAAAGAGTAGCAATGTTTGTGTGCATATAATTTCTCATCAAGGAGCTATATCTGTTTGTAGTTTTGTGTATTCAGGTGACCTCACTGAAGCCCGACAATTTCACTCCTCGTGTAGCAGAGAGAAGGGAAGACTACATTCGAGTCGAATACGAGAGTCCCATAATGGGGGTGTTTGTCACTACTCCACCAAGACATTCTTTAACACAGTTCAACTCATCAACGATGAGCCTAATCTATGAATATTTGGCTTCAGTTTGTAGATGATGTTGAGTTTTGGTTTCCACCGGGAAAAAAATCCATTGTAGAATACCGATCGGCGTCTCGTATCGGAAACTTTGACTTCGACATCAATAAGAAGAGGATAAAGGTAAACATTTTCCAGTGAATAATTTCGATGTTGTTAGCGCAGCCTGCAGATTCACTCATATTCCTTTACTTTGTAATTTGCGTTAGGCACTGCGGTCGGAACTGGAGAAGAAGGGTTGGTCTTCTGAGGGCAGATTCTGAAGTGCCGCCATCGTTCGAATGTGGTGAATAACAAAGAAAAATAATTGAGTACTTTTTCTATATCACCACATTCATGCGTCAAATTAGTTTGATCTTTTGTACAACAGTGAATATGATGTGAACAAGATAATTTTCCAATCAGGCTGTTGCAGATCAGTTTCCGATCCACAATGCCCTGTAAGAGAAAAAAACATATAGCCATCCCACCCCATGTTGGTAAGACCTGAAAGGCTTATTGTATTGGAGACCAGCGGTCTTGATTTAGACGAATTTATAAAATATAAATAGCACCATGTTTGATATACGGTCTTTGAGATATTAAATGAATAAGGGACTATAAACACGATAACTAATGACAAATAAATTCAATGATTGGATTCCCTTGTATCGTTTGGGGACTACGTCGTAGTGGCCTAGTACGTCTGTAGTCGATGAGTCGAGTAAATTATTATTGAGATGATAATTCATTGAGTCAGAAGGAGTTTTGATATGTTTAACTCACGGCTAGTTCGATATTGGGTCTAGAGGGTCACACACATATGGTAGGCATTATGACGAGTAGATGTTCAGATATGAGATATCTTATTGGAGATCCAATAAGCTCTTGAATTATTGGATTATATGGATCAGATTCAATAAGAGACAATGAGAGATTATTGGATAGAGATCCAAAAATCTAAAAGGCTTGGGTAGTTGGATGGAGATCTAATACCCAATATGGTAGGATCTATTAGGAAACATCTATAAATACGAGGGAATCAAAGACCCATAGGCTAGAGGCTTCTTGGTTCCTACCTCCTATTCTCCTCTCTCATTCTTCTCCTCAGATAGTAGATATTAAGTTTTAGGCAGCGATTCGAGGAGAGTCGTCGTAGCCCTACTGTGTATATCACCGCTAGAGAGAAGGACGCTTGACCTCCTTCATCCTCTCCTATAGATCTACAAGGATTTAGGGATATACGATCTCCTTATGTAATATAACTATCTCACACATGGATTTAAGTTTCATGGATTTTGTGCACCAATTTTCCCACGACGATGAATACATTTTTTAAAAATTTGAGGATTTTTATTTTTTGTTCTTCCGCTGTGCATATAATGTCGCCCCTAGATTTTCCTATAGTGGTATCAGAGCTGGATTATTCGTGCGAAAGATTAGTTTTGAACTACGTGTGTTGTGTTTTAGAAAGACTTTTGATGTCAAAATTGTTAACGCAAAAGGCGAGAGAGAGACCATACATCGGGCATGGTGCTATCAAACCCATACGGTTTCTACTTGAGTCTCGCTCTAATTGGATTCTCCCAGAGAAATCTTTCTCTCTCAATTCAAATGACTCTAGCTAAGGATTTGTTTGAGCAAGAACACATAGGATATTCCTCTTATAATAGCAAGAGTGGATGATCATCTATCGACACTCAATAGATCTTGTAAGGTTAGTTGTTACTCCCCATGATCAGTTATGCTAGATCTAGAACTTTCCGGTCTATAAGTCTGATATTAAGAATATAGTACTCATACAGGACATCCTTGGTGTCTCAAGTCTAAGGACCAAGTAAGGTTGACTACTCCTAATGATCAGAACATCATTGGATTACTCATATAGGACATCCATCATATGGATGGGTATACAACACACTAGTCTGTCCGGTTATCTCGATGTCCCTTTCGAGCAACCTATGATTAGGATTATTTAGTGTCGCTGTTTAAAGGTAAATCGATTTTATTATCGTGATCTCATCACGATCCGATTTCTATTGCACAAATCCATGGATATCACAATATATATGCATATATATAATAAGTAATATAAAATAATAAAATATCAAATAATATAATAAACAAAAAGAGTGTGTGTCATGTCACATGTGTCATCACTCACATTATGGGCTTGTAGGGCACCTATAACTAGCATATAGGATCTCTCTAGGTAACACAACTATCTCACATGTGGTTTTCAGTTTTGCGGGTTTTTGCACACCAATCTTCGCATGGCGATGAACACCTTTTGGGAAATTTGAGATTTTTGTTTTAATGTTCCTTCACTACGCATATGATGTCGCCCCTAAATTTCCTTACACGGTTCATTAGAGTTGGTTGATAGTCGCTCCCTCAACTACTTGCCTTCCTCAATGGCCTCCCCCAATTGCTGTTGGGAAACCAGGATGGAGCATCACATATGCAGCAAAAAAATAGAAAAATAAAATCTCAAATTTTTCAAAAGAAAAATATTCTTATCGTTGTGCTAAGATTGGTGCTTAAAATAAAATACAAAATCAAAACTATACATATCAAGTGAGATTTATTACATATGGAGATTGTATATCCCTATAAAATCTCAGATCTATAGGAGTGGATGAAGAATGTCAATTGTCCTCCTTTTTAGTAGTGATCCACATGATAGTTATGGCGAAGACGTTCCTCAAATCATTGAATGATCTTCCTCTCCACATGCACCACGTGATTAGGAAGGGCCCGACCCTTCTTGTTATACACACGCCTCAAGCTAGAGCTATTAGCCGGGAGGAGAGGGAGGAAAGAGAATATGAGGTAGTAGCCAAAGGGGTCTAGCCTATGCTCCTTTAGTTCCCTCTTATTTATATAGATCTCTATCAATTTAACCCTAATGGATCCTACCATATTGGGTATTGGATCTCTAACCAACTACCCAAGCCACTTGGATTAGTAGATCTCTACCCAATAATCTCTCATTTGCTCTTATCCACAAGATCCAATAATTCAATGACTTAAAGCTCCAACGGATATCTCATATTCGAACCTTTACTCATTACAACACCTACAATATATGTGTGACCCTTTAGACCAAATATCGAGCTAGTCATGAGTCATACTTATCATAACTCCTCTTAATTTAATGAATTATTATCTTCATAATAATTCACTTGATTCATCGGCTACGAACGTACTAGATCACTACGTTGTAATCACACGTGTCATCACTTACATGGTTGGCTTGTAGAACACCTATGACTAGCACCCTAGGAGAGGAACCTTACAACTAGGAAGATCCTAGTCTGCCTACTTGGTCGTCCTAAACCAGGTCTTCACCAGTAGAATGGTTTCCAACTGAGTAACCTATGCAGTCTCACATCACCAAGTCTCCTATGTGAGCGAAGGAGAGGCCCCTAGATGAGTCTGCATCTTCGATAGTAAAATAATCGAGTCGACTCATCAGTCAACGATACTTATGACCCCATCATAATGTAATGAGGCTCTTTTGTTTATGTCTTTGTTCCGGTAGATGCAACTCTATGAAATATAATATTTTCTTATATATAATACAAGTGCTTTATAAATATTTTTTAATAGTTATATAATATTTTAATAAATTTATTATAGAACATAAATCATGACTCATTGTAAGAATATTAACTTATTTTTTTTTATTAATTTATAATATTAATTTATATTTTTTTCTTTCATTAAATAAGTTTTTTTCCAAGAACACAAGGTGTAATATTTTAATTTAGGTTGTATTTGGAAAGACATTTGTATTTTCAATGTAAAGGGATTTTAGTGAATGTGTAATTATAAAATGATTTGAGTGTTTGTTAAATAAAAAATAAAAATTATACTTTATATATGTATTGATGTCAATATTATTTGATAAAATTATATTTCTTAAATAAATTGAATTGTAACGATATCAAATTTTAAATTTTCATTATTACTATTAATAGGAGTATAGTGGAAAAAAAAGGTAATCTTAAAGTTAAAACATACTAATTATTAAATAAAATAATATAAATTTTCTTATACATAGTGTGTTTTGACATTTGTACATACTTATATCATTTAACTAAAAGAAAATATAAATATAACAAGTCCAAATTTTATATATATAAAATTTCTATAAGTCATCATCTATAAATGCACATAGGTTTACATATGCCCATTTTCCCACTAATCACTTGCGAGGTACTAGTATCTTTACTTGTAAAACATGATCTATAATAGATAATCGCTTTATAGGTATAAGCCATTATAGCTTTATTCAGGTAAGATTACATTATGTCATATATATAATATTTTAAAATCATTAACATAATATATTTAATGGTAGATTTCTCATCTTATGATTTCTTTAACAATCATAAACCTATAACATAATATATGCACAATAAGGAGGTAAAATTCTATGTTAAAATAATTTAAATATTTTATATGCATATGTAGGAAATATAATAAATTCATGGATTTCTACATTTCATATTATAACATATACATACACTCTCTCACACTGTATGTCTCGGAATATATACATGTACTTTAACATCACACATTATATTATATGCATGTACTCCTACACCACACGTCATAATACATATATATAATCTAACATTTTATGTCATAGCATATACGTGTATTGTACATCATAACATATTTGTGTACTCCCACACTATATGTCATCATATATGCATACATATAAAATATTTATATTATAATTTATATATTTTTATACTTATAAAATATATATTCATATTTTTCTTATAATGATTATATCAATCGAAATATATTTTTTAAAATATCTTATGTATACGATAATTTATAAGACTCCATTTTATAGTGAATTAAACTAATTCTTACCTGTTTGAACTAAAAAATGAAGATGTTAATGAAAGACCATATTCCTTAATGATTGAATGTGCTAAAAAATGATACACCTATTAGGAGCATAAGGTCATGAGATGCCTTAATTAAGAATCCTACCTCTTGAATTATTGATTAATGATAATTTATTATAATAATTCGTAGAATAAGTTTGATAAAATCTCTTATAAAATAAATTATATGTAACCTAAAAATTCATCTAGATTTCACAACTAATTTTTTAACAATTCACTTTAAAATCTAAAATCAAATGAACTAGTTAATATTAATTAAACTATCACACTATGAAGAAAATTTTCTTCACTATTCTAACTGATCAAATGATCTTAAGTTATTATAAATATTTATATAACTAGAGGACATATAAAATAAAATATATACCAGATATTAAATTAAAATGGAATCATTTGAAGGCTAAACTATCCCCTAATTCAACTATCAATACCTATTCAATTTTGTTGAAACTGGGTTAGGACTGTCTGAACTTATAAATCTCATATCTTAGTGGATA